CTGTAACCAACCTCCACAGGCCCAGAAGAAGCTACAGAGAAGTATTCCTTATATCCAACAGCTATGAGGGCTGTGGAGAAGCACTCTCCTCTTGAGCAGTGTTACTCTCCTGAGCCCAGAAACCGGACCCATGTTCTGCCTTATCCTGTTTTTCATGGGTGCTTGGCCCCTACCTCTAGCTGTGTACTACTGAAACTGCAGCTGCTGCTCTTACCCCAAGGTCTGCTTTTAGAGCAGCAAAGCTGTAGACGTCCAGTTGCAAGGACAGTTGCGTCAGTGTAAGCTGCAGCCTGATTGCTGGCCTTGTGCCATAGAAAGTGATCTCATCCTTGGGGGACTCCTAGGAGACAGGAAAAACACCATCAAAAGAGTTGTGGGTCCTGGGGTGGCGGGAGAACCGTGGATGTTTTAGTAGTGGGTGTTAATTGCAGGAACTTTCCGCTACATGATAGGATCACGCCGTGTGGAAATGATCCCTGCACACACATGGCTGAGCAAGTGCATGGGATACCTCCACATGGTTCCAAGCACTGGGTTTCTTTCCCATGTTAAAACCGTGTGTTGAAGCTGCTGGAGTGCGTTCACCTCAGTGTTTACAGTGAGGTTTCTTACTTTCATGCCCACACCATCACCTTTCCCCTGCTAAAGGAGCCAATAGCTCAGCTGATTTTCTTTTAACTCAGGCCTCGGGGGCTTTGTGCTGCCAGATTACAAGCATTTAAGGGTTTACTTTTTTTTTGTCCTGGAGGTTCTTGCAGACAGGATGGGTGCGAAGGACTTTGTCCTGCCAGACAGCTATATAAAGCACTCAGTGATTCAGCATTTGCTGCACCCTACACAGATTCCTCTGTTATCATACCAACAGGAATGTGGGGCTAGAAGGGATCTCCTAATCATCATCGTATTCCCCAGCTATGACAAGCACTGAGTCATGAAATCCCTCTCGTTAATATATCACAGTCCATCTGAAGATGGAAAATTCATTGGGAATTTTCTTGGCAGGTTATTCCAGAACTTCACTCTGACAGAAGGAAACTTGGTTCTGATTTGCAGCCCACATTTTTTCATAGCCTATTTTTATCTACTTGTTCTCATGCCAATGCTGTCTTCTAGTTAGTAGCTGTTCTTCCTTCTTGTTTCCTAACTTAGCCACTTACATGCCAATGAAAAATGGCCATTTCTTCCCAGAATCCCTGGTCTACTTGGAGAAGAAACTATCTATTTTTAGCTCCCTCTAGCAGTTCATACCTGCCACTCTTTGTATCTGCAGGAAGGCACTGAGGGAGAGCCCTGGTTTCATCGCTACCCATTGCAGCGATGGGAGGATGGCTGTATACATTGCTCCCTGCTGCCAGCTGCAGAGGAGTCTATAAAGAGTTTGGCAAGATGCTAGAACAGAATTGCACCCACCTTTTGAAGCACTGAAGAAGAAATACTCATTGGCAGTTAGGGTATCTGAAAGGCAAAATCTGTGGGTCAGCAGGAACTTGACATTTTCCCTGCAAGTTTGCAATGGATGTGGGGATCCCAGCACCCATCAGGTGCTAGATTTACCAGCAGTATTTTAATATACTCACAGAGGAAAGCCTGTCCATCTGTATTTCCTCCCAGCAAACCTCCTGCAAGTGCTCAGAGGTGCAGAAACCCTGAAGAGCTTTTGCTTCTTGGGGCTTCCCATGGCTTAGGAAATCCATATGGACCCAAGTTCCTTAGGAAGCTCCTGGTACCGGTCAAGGGGCCCATAGGAAGGGAAAATGAAGGCATTGTCCTGCTGACATGATCCAATGCGGGAATAGCATGGACAAGGTGAATATAACTAGCAAGGCACCCTTCAGGAGTTGTGTGTTGGTTTCCAGGCAATTACATCTCATATCTAACCCAAATGAGGCGGGCAATATTTCAAACCAAAGGGAACTGCAGGAATAATATTAGCTGATGCAATCGCACCTTGAATTTACAGCAGTGCTAGGCAGATCCATGAGCAGTGGGTTACTCTGTACATAATTACAGCAAATTCAAGCCCTTGTTTGAAAGCAGCTGGGTTTTGGTTGTTTTTTTTTGAACAGTTCCCCAGATACAGGTGCTGGATAAAGACTTCTTTTCCTCTGACAGGTGAATCTTTTGTTTGCTGGTGGATCATGCTTTTGCAAATATCAGCTCATTTCCTCGCTATTACAACCTTTATCACGTCAGTAACAAACCCACATTTAGTGCTTTCCTGCTTCTGCAATCTATTCTTCACAGCTCCTCAGTGATGAGGTCTTTTTCCTAGTTCTCCTAATACCTGATATCAGCATGCTGCAGTCAAGGGGGGAGGCTGGCTCTCCTGTTCTGGAAGTCTGGCATTACTGGGTACCTGTTGTGTTACAGTATGACCCCTTAGGCTAAATTCCACCCTCAGCCCCCACTGCCTTCAGCACTAGCTGCTTGAGGGCATCTGAATTGAGCCTTTAAAGCAGACAAGCTCAACAACAACAAAGAGAACCTGAGGATGACTTGGAGTCTAATTTACTCAAGGAGAAGGTTCCGAGTCAAGAGCCTTGTCTCTTCTACTGAACATTGTGCTCATCTCAGAGAGAAAACCCATGCTCTCTTTTCTCTCTCACTGGCACCAGTCATTCAAGTGAACACAAAGCCACCTCCCTGAGATGCATCAAAGCTTCTTCACTAAATATTTGCAGAAAAGGCTTTGGGTGCTTCACCAGGAAGGCCTGAGAGACAGGTTGACCCATCACAAAACAGGAAAACAAAAGCTTATGCTTCCAGCTGGGCCCTGGTTAACTTTCTCAGCCAGCAAGTCTTGGACCTCAGTGAGAATCCCAAATGTCCTCTGGAAAAAGTGAGAGAGGAGTTGGGAAAGATGGGGAAGGATTTCAGGCAACAAACTGGGGTACCAACAATGGAGACCAGTGATTTTGCTGTTGAGTAGCCAGTAGTTGCTCTATGTGGATGGTTTGCCCACAGGATCTGGTTTTAGTATATAAAGTATTTCTATGCATGCTCCTGTATATATTTGTGTCCTTACACAATGGGGAAACATCCTGCTTTTTCAGGATCACCCCATTGTCCAGAAAAATTGGGATTTGACAATCACAGATCAGAAAGAACCAAGAACCCTTTTCCCTGTCAGCAGTCAAAGCATCTGCTGCAGCAAGGATGAGATTTCTACCAGTAAGCAATGATTTTTCTAGATAATGACAGCATTAGGAACAACCCCACAAGCATGTGAGGTACATCTGCTAAAGCACTTCCATAAAAAAAATCCCCTTGCATCTTTCCCTTGGGAAAAATGAGTGCCCTGCTCAGCAATCAGAGCCTGGGCTGCAGGGGGGCCACAGCCCTACAAACAGAGATGCTGCCTCTATGCTGCACACAGCAGGGGCCTATTTATTTGGCAGAATTGGGCTATCCTCCGCCTGATCCAGACAGCATCAATCTTGGAGCAGCAGGAGGAGGTAAGGTAGGTTTTGTGCTGACCACCTACCTTCCGGTACAGCTGGAAATCTGGGAACAATATCGTTTCAAACATTATTCATCAGGTTCCAGGACTGGTGCCAAGCTCTGTGCAGCTACCAGCTGAGCAACCCAGACTTGGTCTCTGCTTTTACAGGACTATTATAAAATCATTTCCCTCTGTGACCAGTTTAGGCTGTTCTAACGCAGAGTCATAAACGAGACACTGACTTTTAAAGATCTTCCTACCCTTAGGGTGGCAGATGAAAGAACAGGTCACAGCTTTGTTCTGCTGCAACATGCCTGGAAGTGTTGTGAGACATGCTTTCATTACAGGGAAATTTCCAGTGTCTCACTGGGTTTTGCAAGTTTGCAACCTACCTGTAGAGTAGGAAAGAAAGGCTGGGCTGGCCAAAACATATAAAAGACATTTATTTGCTCATGTCATTTGGACAGCAGTAGCTGTCTTACTGATGTCTGTATCTGTTGGAGAGAGCAGGGGTGATTTCCACCCCTAACACAGACCTTGCGGCATTTTTCAGCAACTCAGCAAGGATGCCCAAGCCCAGGATAACTTAAATTCATTTAATAAACCTGAACGTCTTCTTTGCAAAACAAAGTGATCAGTGTAAGAGGAGCCCGTGACACTGTGCTGGGAAGGATGTTGCTCATACCAATTCGGCTGCTCAAGCAGATTGCTCCTTTAACACCACCTCTGACTCAAGTCCCCAGTTTAAAACCCCTATTTTTACAAGTCTGTAGTAACCAATGGAATAAATTAATTCAGGGGGTGTTCCAGATAATGAGGAGTTTGTCCTGCAGCAAAAAAGTCTCCAATGAAGAATTAGTGTTGTAATTGTATAAAGTGTTATCAAGTGAAGAATGAGTGATTATCAATGAAGATGTTAGAGGCCCAGAGTATGCAGCAATTAGATTTTGATAACTGGTGAGAATGGAAATGAGAAAAACAACAGTGAAAGAAAGTAAAATGCTTTCTGATCGCACTATCTAACAGTTAATACCCCCATGCATAGGGATTCATAATATCCCCTGCATAAAAAGGATGCACAGAATTTCCCATAAAAATATCTCGGACTCACTTGATTATCATTTCCTTAAAGCTTAAGTGTTATACCAAAGTATTCATGCTGAGTGTGCTGGAAAGCTACAATGAAAATTATTCAGGACGTTTCCAAGAGCATGGCTAACAAAAACACATTTGTCCCCATTTCAAGCCTGTTTCTTAGTTTTTTTTTTGTCTGAGATGCTTCTCCCTCACAGCATACGAACTGGAAATCTAACTTCTATGGGTCTTGGCAAAACCCATCCAACCAGGACCACACTTTATGACCTTGAAAAGTCATAAGGCATGCAGATCTGCAGAGGCTTCTTAGCATTTAGTGGACAAAAAGCCATTCCCAAAACATGCCTGGAACTTCCACCCTGGCTGAGTATGCTCCATGTCCTTGCTGATGCACTTGGGCTGTCCACTGACGGTAGTCAAACCCACCACACCTGCGAGTCGTTGCCGTTACCACTGTGGGAGGGTGCACTGAGTTGAGTGAAAATGGGCTTCCCCTCATAAAGGTGATGCCCACCATGCTGCCACTGAAGCAGCATGGCAGAAGAAGTGGTTGTGGAAGCCACTGTGGGAGGAAAGCGGTAAATCTGGTTGAAGAACCTGTTGTAAGTGGGGCTGGGGGAGGAGGGAGTAAAAGAAGGAAAGATGGTGTGACCGGGGCAGAAGAGGGAAGGTGGGGATCTTAATTTTCTGAATCAACAAAATAAAGGAGGATAGAGGGAAGGGTTAAAGCACCAAGAACTCAGGGCCTGGGAGCAGCTATTGGTTGAAAATTAAAGCAACGAAATAGGGGAAAGGGTAGAGGTGATGGTAGGACAAGCCAGATGACTAGGAGCAGGACAGAGGTGGGGTATAGATGTGACTTGAGGTGAGATGCAATTAGTGAAGGCGAGAGTTGGGGAGAGGACAGACTCTGACTTGACAGTGGTGGAGCAAGGAGCAGAGGAGGTAGCAAAGGAGCTGGGTTTTTTTATTCCAGGGCCTTGAAAAAGTAGGACTGGAGGGAACACAGAGGGAAAGAAGCAGAAAGCTCCTGTGGCACATGTTGCTCTCCGGAGTTTGGAAGGGAACCTGGCTGTTCTGAAACTCTCAACTCATCTGCTGCTAGCATGTGGATTTGAAAGGCAAGCCTCTGATGCTGGCTAGCAGCACAGCAATCTCTTCCTACTGCCACCCTTACGTTTGTTAGTTGGAGAGGGTATAATCACCTGGGTTGCCTCTGTCAGTCCCTGTCAGAGGTCCTTGTGGTGGACCTGTTCTTGTTAATGAACCTCCTGGATGTGCATATTGTAGTGTCCTTGCTCAGTTGAGTTGGCTTTAAAACAAACCAACGAGGATCCTAAAAAGCAGCACATTGTAATCTGTGCTGAAAAGGCTCTGAAATCAAGCATTCCAGAGTCATGGAAAGTTGGAACTAAAACAATTTGTGCAAACTTAATTTAGCTTAATTTTGGCATGTATGACTTTGTGGAAAACAGTCCTGGAAGGGACCTCAAGGAGCCACCTGGGGACTCCAGTCCATCTCTTTCCCCCAACGCAGGGCCATTCTTGACAAATGTTACTCTAATCTTCTCTTGCAAGACAGATGTTAATGGCACGATCACATTCTTTTTCTTAATGGGATCCTGCCTCAGTTCACAAAATGCATCAGGGCCATGCTGTGGAGGAGACTGGAAATGCCGCTGTTAAAATACAAGCTCATGGTTCAACCTGTGGACAACTGCCCTGGAGAGCTGCCTCTGCTTCAGAGTTCCTGGTCACTTAAATGGGACTTCTCAGGGTGGTTATTTAAATGGGACTTCTCTCAGGCAGTCATTAATTGTGTTTTCTCCATTTTGTGAGTGCTCAGCTTGAAAATGCTGCCTCTGATGTAACTGCTCGTGCTTGGTGCCCTGTTTTAATGCAGTGTTAGGGCTTGAATTTTAGCACCACTACACAAATAGCCCAGCTCATGTTGCCATGGACTGGGAAATGAAACTGAAATGCTTATGCACTGTGCTCATCACTGGCTGTCATAGGTTGCTCATCTCCCACTTCTCATTTGGCCCTGCCCTGTGCACTCTGTCAGCCTCTCTCTCCCCACACCTTGCTTGTTCTGCTGAAAGCATGTGTACAGAACCTTACAGTCATGCATGATGATTCCCAGTTGCTGTAGTTTGTTTGTGGATGATTCCTCTGACTATTCTATTCAGTTCAGGTTTCTCCATAACCACCTCATCCTCAGAGGTATATGCATTCGGTGCAATTAATTACACCAGTAACATCTATAATTACCTCAGGGAAAAATCAGCAAAGTGTGTAAGAACTGGCAGCATACAGGACACCAGGAACTGCTGCGGTGGGTCACAGAATCATCACAGGATTGTGGAGCACAGAAGGGACCTCTGGTGATCATCTTGTCTAACCCACCCTTGCTTGAGGAGGGTCAGCTGGAGCTGTCACCTTCACTGTCCACTTCCATACTTTCTTGCATACCCATACAGCTTGTCTATGGGGATGTTACATCAGACACTGTCTAAAGCTTTACTAAAGGCAAACACCATCCACTGCTTTCATTCACCAACCAAGTCATCTTGCTGCGGAAGACTGTCAGGTGGGTTAAGCCTGATTTCCCCTTTGTAAATCCATGCTGACTACACTCAACTACCTCCTTGTTCTTCATGTGCCTGGCAATGGTTTCCATGACTTCTTACTCCATTGCCTTTCCAGGGATTGATGTGAGGCTGACCGGACTGTAGTTTCCTTCTTGATGATAGGAGTGATATTTGCTTTCTTGCAGATCTCAGGAACCTCTCCATGACCTTTCAAAGAGTGACCTTGCAGTGTCAATAGCCAGCTCCCCAAACACTTTTGGGCCCCTTGCTCAGGGGCCTGGGATTGCTGAAGGACACTTGTACCCATAAGGCTTCCTCCTGGGTCACCTACCCCTGCTTCTACCTTTTGTACGTTTCTTCTTTATGTCAGTTTAGTCAGGAACTCCTTGTTCATCCATGCATGCCTCCAGCCACCTTTGCTTTTCTTATTGTCAGGATAAAATACTCTTGGGTTTTGAGATGATCCCCGATTACCAAACAACTCGGCCCCTGGCTTCTAGTCCAGTATCTTGTTTCTGATTGTGTCAGGGCAAGATGTTTCAGAGTGTTTTATAAACCTTCCCTTACTTTCACACTTAGTGATTTGAATTCAAGCAGCATGTTTCAAGCCCTTTACCAAAAAAAAAAATGAGGTTTAGTACTATATATTTATGGGGTCAGTATTATCCAAGTACTTGCCCATCAGTGGTATCATTCACCAGTGACTTTCAGAGTCCAGTTAGAAATGTAACTGCCTTCCTGTCACCTAGTGGGAGGCTTCTTGCCCCAAAGCCCACTCACTAGGTAGGTCTTCCTAGTGTCCTTCTGTATGTGTGGAGAAAAGAGAGGCTCTTCTAGGTGAAGTTTAAGAGCAACCCTACTTGAGAACTAGAATCACCTCCTGGAGAAGTCTCTCACCTTCCAGGGACTAGAAAAACTCCTACTTTAAGCACCTGACATATACAATAACTGCTTAACTTAGAAATACTTCGTTCTCCTGAAAGGGTCACCTTTCCCATTAATTGTGTTGCCCCCTTGCTCCTGTGCCACAAGGCAAAAAGAGATCCTTTTGAACTCAGACCAGCATCATCAGCTTGATATGGCTTGCATCCAGTCCAATTAAAAACAAATAAATGTAGCATTTCCCTTAAGTCAGATGTCCTGAAATAACTCCTTTATAAAAAGGCATTGTTAATCCTATCGGGCTTTTTCTGCTTGTAGGCTCTTTCCTTAGGGGTCATTTGGAGTGACTGCTGCTCCAATCATGCTAACCTTATTTAAGCTCCCCCATTTCCTGTCTGTGTCCTTATATGCCTGCTCATTGTTGCCTGTTGAGTTCAGCTTTGCTCTTGCTGCTTGGCTTGCAGCCTCTTGCAGCGTTTGAGAGGGGTGCTCATCCAAATCTTGCAGAACATGTAGCATGTGAGCAATAGCGGCTGGGCCAGATCGGCAGATAAGCTTTGCTGACCATTAGCAAAACAATGGACTGTACGCTCAGTGCTGTTAAATACACAAAATAAACAGGGAGGGGAAAAAAAATAGGTTGCTTGTAACAATCAGGTCACATAATGTTCAGGAGGAAATGAGATTCTGGAATTATTTTTTTTTTTTAAGGAATGAAATTGTTTCCATTGATTTCTAGGGCTTTTCGGTGCTTTCATGCTACTGGTTTCTTGTCTCCAGACAGCTGGATCGTGCTGCCTGATCCTCAATCCTTCCTTGAAGAAAGGCATCTGAATTACATCTAATAGGGCTGAAGCAAAAGCAATGTGGGTTGTTAGTCTGATCAAATTAAGAGGTGTGCAATGTTGTGCAGAGCGTAAAAGGTTTTACCATGTCAAGCAGTCCACAGAGAATTAAGGGAACTAGCTGATTTTATGGGAAACACCCAAGACACAAGTCTTTTCTGTTATGATTCCTGTGCCTACTTTGAAGCTTTGTGTTTGCAGACCCTCTAGCCTGTTCACATATTTGCTAAGTTTTTATATTGGATAACTGAGTTTCAATGCCATACTTTCCAGATGTTTTAGTGATCTGGGAGAGAGCTCTCCTTTTAAAAACAGCTGTTTCCATCTCAGGGCAAGACAGCTGTAAGCACCAGATGTACAATGCAATATGCAGCAACAATTAGTAACCATTTACAAGCCAAAGATGAAGGAAGTAGTGTGCAACAGTGATTAGGGAGCAGGCAGGGACAGGGCTCCTTAATTCAGTTAGAGTGCTTGGTAAAAACTCAACACCCAAAGTGAAAATACTGTTACATTTTTGGCCCCTTCATAATTAAGTGTGCATTTTCTCCCAGCTTCTGAGAATCACCACCTTTAATTCCAAACTGAAGACCCTCGGTCCATTGGTGAGACATACAACAACAGTGCAAGTTCACTACTGTGGCTGATGTATATAGAATGGCCAAGGTTTCACAGCTCTATTCAACCATTTTGCTACGTGCTGTATAGTGCAGAGCAATCATTCCTCTCTGCAGACAGAAGTGTATTATACTCCCCACAGTTTACCTTGTAGGTATCAAGAATGGCTCTAAAACACCAAGCACTGCTGTCCCCATTCTCCCCCAGGGAGCTGGCTGGGGAGACCTGTACCCATGCAGTTGTTTTCAGCCCAGGTAAAAGCAGCTGTGACAGCAAGAGCTGGATGCCCATTTCATTGCAGCTAAGCATGGTAATTTTGGTCTGCAGGGAGCCCTTGCAGCAAGGACAGCATCCCAGGCAGGCTCCACCAGGCGTATTGCTGCCTTCTTTGCTTCTTTGGTGATGCAAACATCTATTCCGAATGGCTTTTTCTCCTTCTCTTGGCACCTTGCACCATATGCAATGCTGTCTTTCCAAAACTGTTTCAATAGGAACTAGAGAAACCTCTTCCTGCATTTGTGAGAAAGCACAGTAAATCTCATCACCCTGGTGCAACATCCCCCAGCTGTCTGAAGGAGGAAGCACCCCAAAATCTCCTTTGCTGGCTGTTGTGCTTGCATCCTTCTACAATTTCTAGGTCATTGTGACAGCTTGGAAACCAGCCTGGGTCTTCTCCCCTGCCCATGCCTCTCCCGTATGTCTACCAAGGCCCAGCTAAAGGGTACTCCTTATTCCCTGTCTCACGTTAAGGCTTCCTAGCCCTACATGATTTTCTAGAATGGACTGAAGGCCTCAGGGATCAGGTTGGCTTTAACTCTTTGCAATTTTAAAGTCTCCTCAACAGCGTGGAACTTGATTGGAGAAGCAAGGAAATAATGACCATGGGACATTTATACTCCTTTCTACCAATACTGTACTATAGAGGGAGCCCCAGTAAATGCTGGGGAATGGGGTTGTTTAGATTTCCTGCTGTAGGAATGACCCATATGCTTCTTAGTAGCCTCTTTACAGAAACAGGGAGACCTGCTGTGGGAAAATGCAAACAGAAAACAAGTGGATGTCAGTCTGAGCTGTTTAACTGCATCTGAGAGAGATGATACACACAGAAGTATAATTCTCTAGATTTGAACTCTTTTAAACTCCTCGGGAAACAGGCATAAGTTGTGCTTTCCAGGGAATGACTCTCTGGAAGACATGTCAAAGGCTCATTAGAATGACAGAGCTTCTCTGGCTCTGGACACTGTGGTTTTTCCAGGGTTATTTATGAAGAAGGTGTGGCCAGACAAATGCTGGAGCAAGGGAAACTGTCCAACAGAACAAGATGTTCTCCTGGCACAGTGGGAAACCTGATGCTTCTTTCAAGAGTCAGTGGATAAGACCAACCTTAAACCTGTGCAGCAGGGAGGACTTCCACACAAGGATGCATTTTTTGCACCTAGGAAGTCACTGATGTTTTCCATGTGTCGCAGTGTTGCCATGAACCTGTATTTGGTGTCTCTGCTTGTTCCACTGCGCTGAATTGAGAAATGGACGTGGTCCGTAGCTCCTGTTAGATTAAACTGTTCAGACCACTTGGCTCTGTTGGTTTTGGCAAACTTACCTAGAGTCTTGCAAGGGCCAGGTTCACCCCCACATATCCAGATCAGCAAAACGTTTGCTGTTCTCTGAAGCAATTGCTGGTGATGACATATTTTGTGACAGGAAATCATTGCAAAATGCTTGGTTCTCAAGATGAAAACCATGCATCCAGCTCAGAAAAATAAATGCGACCGGTATGTTCTAAACATAGATTTCTTCAGATTTTGTTCTAGGACAAAAATCAACCCCACTTTTCAGGACTTATTGTTCTAATCATTAACGCCTGGGCAATCAGTACATCTGTTACTGTTACAATCTCTGATTTTCCACTGGAAAAAAAAAAAAGAGAAAAGTTAAAGTTTAACCACAGCCATTGAGTTTGCCCACGCCAATCAAACAGGAGACAAGGCATTACAATATCTCAGTAACTTGTTCCGTGGATAATTCCCCTGGCAATATTAAGGAATTAAATGCAAGACTGGTAGATCCATTAGTATTGTTTAGATTTGCAAAGCATAACAGAAGTTCAAACTGCCTTGAATGACTGCCTCTTTACGAGGCTACTGGAGGTAGCCCTCTCACCATGGCTCCTGATGGAATGACCAAGGAAGAGCTGCGAGGTAAGCAAACACAACATCTTCCTACAGAACACCCAAAAAGGAAGCAATAGAGAATGACAAGGCAGGAGTTCCCTGTGCAGGAACATGTCTACGGGTGCATGTTGGAGCAGACCCGCTCAGCGTCTGATTAAGATATTTGAAGTTTAGGGTGATATATGAAAAGTAAACAGACAAATGAAAAGCCTTACACGAACAAAGCACACCCCACCACCCCCCTTCCGCTGAGCTCCTTAAAGCTTTGTTCTACCAGGGAATAGTACCAGTTTCCCAATTCACTGCCACCTTACGGCATTTCAGAGAGATGACACTTCAGTAATTCCTATTGGATGCTTCCTATTTTCAAGCAGCCTCGCTGGGAACTCGGTTGTTACAGAAACACGGCAGCTGTAAACCTGCCCCTTGCAGCCAGGTTTGGAACAATATCAGTGCCTGAGACGCTGGATTATACAAGCTTGTGAAAACCGATCATTAAAACGTCAATTCTATTTATATTTGCAGATTCTCAAGGGAGGTCATTTCATCAGCCAAGAGGCTGAAAATAAAGATGAACTTTGCAATGTTGTCAAAAGAGAACCTTTCAGTCTAAAAAAAAGACTCATGCCTCTCCCGAATGATTTTAATTGTCAGCCCAGTTTTGCAATGGAGGATGAAAGATTAACAGATGCCCTTATCACGTGTTGAGGGTTTTTCTGAGAGTAGACTTAGCTAAGGGAAGAATCTGTGAGAAGACTAACAGAAATGGAAGATGCTTTGTAGTTTTCCCACCCCTTCAACTACATATAATCCTCCTTTAAGCACACTTGTGTGGTTTCCTAGTCGATGAGCAGACACTAGACTTGAATGGACAGGCTTTGGAGAGTTGGTTGGTTAATTATTACTTGGAAATGTGGGCAGGATTGCCTAATAGGAAACAGAGCAGCTGGGATATTTGTCCTGTGCATTCCCCAAGTGCATGGATAGACTTGGCATTCAGAAAAGCAACATTAGCAGCAACCAAGAGTTCTGGGCTTGATACGGGTTGTTTTGGTACTGAAGAGGAAACTGGGTGATTTTAGGGAAGGGTTATACCATATACAGGAGGACAAGCATAAAGCTGTTTTCCTGAGGTAAACCTGTTCTCTGTAAGTGAATGAAATTGGTTTCCATCTTCAGGTTGTACACTCGTTATAAAGCTGGAAGGAATATTTTTCAAGCAGACACTGTCAGTATAAAGTACGCATTGGTCTGATTTTTATTTACTACTATCATGAGTAACAACAAATGCTAAAGCAAGGAACTCAACCTCCCCTCCCTGCTGTTTTTCAGATCACCAACTTTCTTCAGTTAACAAAAACTCATCTGTCTCTCAAGCTGGATCTCCTGTTTATGTAGTCTTTTGAAAGAACTTTGCCAGAAAATAAGATGATGTGATTTGCATTGGCATTTTGATGCTCAATGGCAAAAAAAACCACCAATTTTAAGCTCATGAGTGGAATGTCTAGCGGCGCATTTCAGGTAGAGGAGAGCTAGCCACTGCCTAGTTGCATATTTGTCTTTTTGTGCAAGACCATCCTTTACAGAACTAATCCAATCTGTAGCCCTAATTTTTGACAAATAGCCGTGGCTGGGATCAACAGCTGTACTGAAACAAGAGAGGAGATGTCATTTTCATGGCTGATAGCCAATTGAGTCTGTGCCTCAGCAATGTTTGATACAGTGGCATCTCAGAGCAGGGCTGGAATGATGACTATGGTGGGGTGGCTGCAGCACCACTCCAATACTGTGATTACAGACTGTGTCTTTAGTCTTTGTTAGGGCACACCACTCTCAACGGTCAAGCTTCCAGCTGTACAGAGCTGCACAGGTAGCTCATGAAGAATCAAACCTTAAACAGTCCCAGGTCCTTTGTAGTAGGTAAAGATATTAATTATTTAACTGACAGGAAAAAAAGGTTTCCAGCAAACTGAGCACCCTGGAGCAAGCAAACTGCTGAACCATTTAGAGAGACTGTGTTTGTTTTCTGCTTTGGAAAACAGCTCTTGTAAAGGATAAATTTTAGCTTAGTTTGCTCACATAGCAAGCTGGTTCAGAATGGCAGTGGGAAGAAGAAAAAAACCTAAATCTGGCAATATTTTGGTGCCAGCAACTCTTAGAACCTAACACTGTCAAGGAGTGCTTCTGCTAGTCCAAGTTGCTTTGTATGTGGTATAAACTATTCTGGCAAGAACGCTTTTTTTTTAATGGCATAAGCAACTGGTGCTCGATTTTTGTTGAGGACTGCTGAGTATTTTTACTGAGGTCACAGCAGGGAGAATACTCCAGCACCTGCTTTGGCAGGGCTGGGAACTGATGCCCCAGGGGTGCTTCAGAGCCCTGAAGTCCAAGCTCTTCCAGAACAGTACTTGGGACTGTGGCCAGGGCCAAGCTCAATCCACTCATGGTGGCACTGGATATAAGGGCCAGTTTAATAGCTCTAACAAACTGTGTTTCCTGTCTTGCTGATAACAGCTGAATCGGGAGCATCTTCTAGGAGCGTTGATCTTCTATCTCCATCGCTCTGCCCAGTTTCTGAAGCAGCTTTACCATCACTCCATGCGCTACTTCCAGTGTGCTGTTGCCGTATTTTTATAACAAGCCATCTCACCACACTGTGCCCCTCTCCTACAGCTGCTGAGGTTTCCCACCAACCACACCACAGGCCTATGGACAACACTACACATGGTAGCAACAGCTGGTTCAATGTCATTGTCTTTTATTGAATCACAGAATCAACTCGGTTGGAAAAGACCTTTAAGCTCATCAAGTCCAACCATTCCTCAGCACTGCCAAGGCCACCACTAACCCATGTCACTGAGGGCCTTGTCTACATGGTGTGTGAACACTTGCAGGGCCGGTGACTCCAGCACTGCCCTGGGCAGCCTGTTCCAGTGCAAAGCCTTTTGGTGTCAAAATTTCTTCCTAATATCTAGTCTAAACCTCTCCTGGCTCAACTTGATGTCTCTTGCCCTATCTCTTGTTACTTGGGAGAGGAGACCAACCCCCACCTCACTCCATTCTCGTGTCAGGCAGTTGTAGGGAGCGATATGGCCCCTCCCGAGCCTTCTCTTCTCCAGATTGACCCTCCCAGGTCCCTCAGCCGTTCCCCATCACACTTGTGCTCCAGGCCCTGCACCAGCTCTGTTGCCCTTCTCTGGCTCTGCTCCAGCACCTAAGTGTGTCTCTTGTAGAGAGAGGTGCAGAGCTGAACACACGATTCGAGGTGCAGCCTCACCAGTGCCCACTACAGGGGGGTGATCACTGCCCTGGCCCTGATGGTTACACTATGAAGGATGCCAATGCCCTTCTCGGCTGCCTGGGCATAAGCTGCTTGTGTTCAGCTCCGCCAATCAGCATCCCCAGGTCCTTTTCCATGAGCAGCTTTCCAGCCGCTCTTCCCCAAGCCTGGAGCGTTGTGTGGGATCCTGCAGATACAGGATCCAGCACTTTGCCTGTTGAACCTCATCACATTGGCCACAGCCCATTTGATAAAGCCTGTCCAGACCCCTCTGCAGGGCCTTCCTGTCCTTCAGCAGACCAACACTCCCATCCAACTTGGTGTCATCTGCAAATGTACTGAGGGTGCCCTTGATCCCCTCATCCAGATCATTGCTAAAGATATTAAACAACAGTGGTCTTAACGCTGAACCCTAATACCAGCTCAATGAGGGACTGACCTCAGGCCCCGATGGTTTCAGGCCCAAACCAAGGGGGTGCTGAGGCGCTGGCACAGGGTGCCCAGAGAAGCTGTGGCTGCCACATCCCGGGCAGCGTTCAAGGCCAGGTTGGACAGGGCTTGGAGCAGCCTGTTCTAGTGGAAGGTGTCCCTGCCCGTGGCAGGGGGTTGGAACCGGATGAGCTTTGAGGCCCCTTCAACCCAAACCAGGCTGAGAACTCTGCGCCTCTCCCCTGCCTCCTCTTTGCCCAAGTGGCCTCAACTCAGAGCCGCGAGCCACCCCCGGAGGGGTGAGAGGGGCGTTACAGCCACCGGGGCGGCGGCTGCCCGCCCTTAACGCGGCACTGAGCATGCCCCGGCCGCCCGCGCACGGCTAGGTCATAAAGGTGAGCGGCCGTGCCCCAACGGGCTTCCGGATTGGCCGGTGGCGGAGAGCTACATGGCGTCTTCGGGCCGCCTCATCGCCGTGAGCCAATGAGAAGCCGCCTCGGGCTGCAGCTTGAACCCGTCCCAGGGCTGTGCGTCGGCGGCAGCGCGTCCTCTGGTTGGCTCTCACGCTTCGGCTCAGCCCGGCAATAGCCGGAAGAGAGGCCTCCTTCCTATTGGCTGCCGAACGCGCTGCTAGGGCGGTGGCAGCGTTTTCCGATTGGGTCTCCGTTTCGCTTCGGGGAGACTCCGTTGCGCCCGTAATGGCTTTATGATTGGTTACAGGCATTTCCGTAACGACCTCGGGATTGGTCCCGAGGACGCTCGGCTGTTTCCGTGAGGGCCTCGGGCTGGGGTCTAACGAATGCGTCGGGCTCTTCGGCTGGGTATTCACTGAAGGCGTTTACGGCCATTCCGCAACGTAGGGCGGCGACAGGCATAGGCGGCTGCGCGGCTTTGGCGCACACACAGAGCGCAGCAGCAGGAGCCCGGCACGCAGCGGAGGCAGCAGCGGGGACAAAGGGACTGATCGGCACAAACAGGGAGGGGGGCCTGGCAGGAGGCAGCCAGCCCCGGGAGGGAGCGGCAGGAGGCTTCAGCCGGGCGGGCGAGTCCCATGTGCCTTGGGCGCCCGGGGAAGCAGCACTAACCGCCGCCGTCAGCGCTCTGAAGCCGGCTGAGGAGGAACCGCGGAGCCGTCGCCGTCGTCATGGCCTGCGCCACCGCCGCCGGCCGCGTCCCGCAGTGCAGCGTCCCCAGCCTGATCCGCCGCCAGCTGCCCCTGCGGGCGCAATGAGGAGCCCCACCGGAGCCGCCGCCTCAGCGCCGCACTGAGAAGCCTTCGTGAGCGAGCGAGGCCGCCCGGGCCGCTTCACCCCTGCTCCGCCCGCCGCGGATCCCGCCGCCACTGCCGGATCCCCTTGCGAGCGGTCGCATCGCCTCCAGTCGGCGGAGATCCCTCCGCCGTCGGAGAAAAAATAGTCCCTTTCCCTGCCGCCTCCCTCAGAGGCGAGGTGAAGGAAAGGCGAGGGGAGGGGGGGAAGAGGAGGAAGGAAAAGAAGGGAAAGAAAAAAGCGGAAAAGGGGATAAAAAACCCAAGAGACGCAGCGGCGGGATCAGAGGAGCCGGGCCGTGAGCCGCCGCCCCATGTGACTGGCGCCCGGGGTGGGGGCAGCGAGGCCTAGCCAACCCCCCTCGCTCGCGGCCGGGAGCGGGAGCGGCGCCGGCCCGGGGGGGCTGCGGACTGGGCGGAGGCAGCTCTCGGACCCACCGGCGCTGCCGGGAAGGATGGTTTTGTGAGGAACGGGCGGCGTGAGGAAGAAGAGGAACACGAAGGAGAAGCAGCAGCCGCCGCCGAGCGCTACAGAGACCGCGAGGGGAGGGGGCTTCCCCGGGGGGGGGGGAAGGGGGGACCCCGGCATTTCATGTGGCGCGTCCCGCCCGTCTCCTCCAGCTGAGCGAGCGAGGGAGCGGCAGACGGGCCCGCCGGGGCGAGGCGGAGGAGTGGGAAAGGCAGGAAGAGAGCGGTGATCGGGGCACAGTAGGAGCGGGGGAACCATGTCCGGGCGGCCCAGGACCACCTCCTTCGCGGAGAGCTGCAAGCCGGTGCAGCAGCCCTCGGCCTTCGGCAGCATGAAAGTTAGCCGTGAGTATCCTGCCGCCCTGCGCGGGTGGTTGTCTGTCCGCCCGGCCCTGCTGGGGCTTTCCCCCCCCCTCTCCACCCTTCGCTGAGGCGGTAGGGCGGCGGGCGGGAGCCCGGCCGGGGGCCGAGAGAGCAGTCGAGAGCTCGGCCCCAGCCCCGGCGGAGGCAGCTCCTTTCTCTCCCCTTCCCCCTCCATTAACCTTGAATAGGCGCACGCCGCCGATTCGTTTGGGGCCTGTTGGACAAAAAAAATGCCGGCTGGTTTGTCCTCAGCCCCCGATCGCTACCAGCGTTGTAAGCAGCCTCTGGCTAATTAAAAAGCCTTCCTCCCCTTCTCTTCCCCCCCCGCTTTGTGAAACGGATTGGCAGCTCCGTAGCATGTATTTTGCTTTTGATTTCCCCCTTGAAAGGAGGAAGCGAATTGCGGGCACACAGGTATTGCCGTGACATTAATGTTCATTATGTGTTTTTTTTTTTTACGCACTCCTGGCTCTGGAGAGCTAGGAAGATTTTTTTTCCATGCACCCGTAGATCGGGTGTGAGCACCTTTTAGTCCAGCCCTTTTATAAGAAAAAAAAAAAAAGGGCAAAAAAAAAAGGGGGGGGGGAGGGACGGGAGCTTACAAAAGGTGTTTCTCTAATATCCTCCAGGCTCTGGGAGAAAGCTCAATCGAGGGGATAAGAAAATGGCTATTTTGACATGTGAGCCTATGGAGTAGTTATTTCAGTCTTGGCCATGCCTTTTCCAGTCTTCTGATCAGAGGAATATATTTAAGAATGAGGCCTTGTGCTTTATTCTGCACAGGTGTGCTGGAAATCGTGTTTAATACGTGCCCATCCTTCGTATCCAAGTTTGTAGGATTAGCTGGTGTATGTGAATAAAAAATATGTATTAAATCTGAACAAATGTACAGTGTCGATGGAACAGGGCCTGTTCAGAGTTGCTTAAGATGGGCTAATTGATTATAATAGGGAATTTCTTAACTCCTGATTTGAATATGTTCACATTAATTGTTCTTCCAGATTCCTACTAATAGTGTAGTTTTCAGGGATATCTTCCTTTTTCTTATAGAAACGCAGGGTGGCATCTTTATGGGACCAAGAAAGCTTGATATGTATGACCATTCGATTGATGTATTTGATCCTTGCGTGCAGCCACACCTGACATGGCTCTGTGTGTGCATGTGTGCAGATATAGCCCATCGGTTTGTGTGTTTCGTGCCAAAGCGCTGTACGGTTGTGAGATTTCTGACAGATCAGGAATTCTGTTTTTCTGCACTGAAATGTCTTCCACTGCGGTTGAAGACTTGAAGAGAGCATTTGGCTCGGGGTCTGTAGCCTACCTTGTATCTGCATGATCAGCGTGCCTGCAGCATTCAGAAAACATGGGTGCAGTTAACCCATGTTAGCAGCAAAAGGGCATATGTTTTATCAGGTCCAGCATTAGCGTTTATTAAGGATTCTTGATCTGTATGGAGAAAACCCGTGGGTGACTCCATTTTAATTTACTGATTTATGTGCATGTGGAATAGGAAGCAGGTTTTGTTGATCAGTATTTCTGCAGGTAGCTGTCTAAGCCAAGTGAGCCCTAGACCTGTCATGCTCAGCAACTGTATTTGTCTTATTCAAGCTCTACAGCTTGATTCTTGAAAGGTCATTGATGCTCCTTTCCCTCCGTTTATGTGAGGTCAGAGACTAGACAGATGCTTGCCTGTAAAGAGGGTGCTAACTGATGCAGACTAACAAGTTTGCAAATATGATTCAATCCCAAGTGTATAACACCGAGTGAGAAACAAAGGCCGTATGCGATAACCCCCACAGTCGCTCTAGTCATGTGCTCCTGGTCCTTCTGCTGTCTGGAAAAAGATGTCAGAACAAAGCAAGAGAACCATGTACAAGGACTCTATGGGAAATGCAGTTGAAATTTTCAGTTCATCCATCCATGCAAGGCAGGCCACAAAGTTAACTTTTTCTTTTTTTTCCTTTTTTTTTTTTTTCCTTTTGCTTTGTAAGAGAAAAAAAAATCTGTGTGTCAAAAAGGGTTGTATCTGTCTGATTCTCATGAATTCTTATGAATAGCATCTATGGAATGATGTAGCAAATTATCTAGTGCCAGTATTGAGTGCTTGGGGGGGTGGGGAAGATCACTTGTGTGGTGAACAAGGAGTTTGCTTGGCTCTTTCATTTTGCTGTATATTTACAGATACTTAGTTACATTCTGAGCCCTTTCAAGTGAAAGTTGGGACAAAAGAGCCCTTGTGAGGTGGGTGAAAATTGATGGATTGGTATCTTCTGAGTCTCTCATGCATCTTTAGTACCTCTTTCTTGGTACGCGCCTTCTCCAAGTCATCAGGGAACAAAACCTGACTTGTTATGTACCAACCTTTTTGCTTTTATTTGCAAGTCCAGTGTAGTGGTGAAATCGAATTATGAGGTCACTCTTGCTCTCGTGTCTCTGCAGCTATTGCTGCTTCTGTCTGAGCACTGCAAGTTACATAGGAAGGATGGATCCAGGTGTGGAGGAACAGACTGGTAAAGCAGTGGAGGAAGGCTTGCTGATCCTTCCGTTACCTGGGAGGAGCAGTACTAGAAGCATATGGTGATTGCTTTTCTCTGAGGTATATGGGGGAGAAAGAGCAAGTAAGGATTTTTCATCTCTTCCCTTTATAATTTATTAGACTTAATTTATGAGACTTTGTTCTCAGAAGTTGGTAAGAAAGCTTGATCCTTGAATGAAAGGATGGGAGATAACCTACAGCTGCTGCTGTTCTGGCTGTTGGGAAAGATGACTTGGCATGCATGCTGCTCTCATTGCTCTATAATTGACATTACAAGGGTTTTAACATCTCTGCAAGAGTAGGAACCCTGTGGCCTTTTTGTATCTCTTTCAGGCCATACCAGCATCAAGAGTACCTTCTGAAATCTCATTATTTTTCTTTTCTCTATTAATATTTTGGTGGTTTTGAAATCACTCCACCACTGTTTCCAGCCCACCATATGGATTTCTGCATTGAAGGTATTCTCAAGTAGGTTATTCTTGGTCTGTATTGCTGGGTTTGTAGGCTTTCCGTGCACACACAAAAAGCGCATGTACTCCTCATGTTGAGCCTGTCCCTCAAGATGAGGGAGCTGAGCTTCCAGTTTTCCCCTTACTGATACTATCAACCTGCTGGTTGTAGTATAAGAGAAGAGATATGAGCTTAAAGCTTTCTTTTGTTCTTCACCTAGTTGTTGTTGCATTGCTTCCAGATGTACATTGTTTCCCAAGTGGGGAAGAATAATCCTGAAATACAAAGGGTAGCCATGCAACACATGACCAAAAATATCTGTATAAAAATAGAAGTTTTGAAGTTTGCAGTTTAAGGATTTTCATCTAATGACTATGGAATTGATTTTTTTTTTTTATATTTTTTTTTTTTCCTTTCCCCTTCCCTGAGCTTCTGGAAAATGAGTATTTTCAAGTAACACCACGTCCCTGTAGACAGCAATACTTATTGTAACTGCAGCCAATTATCTTGTCTGCAGTAAATAATGTCATGGCTGATGCTTGCCATGAAGAGGTTTTGCTCCATGTGTGTTGTGGCTCTGTAATTGGTTATGCAGAATTTGTTCAGTTGGAGGGTGAGGAAGGCAATTTGATTTGCTTTAGCTAATTCTGATGTTATGTGCATATTCTTGGTTGCAAAATCTAAAGGACAATCTTGTAATAATTCATTTTGGACTCTGATGTTTCACTGGTGCCAATGGTTTTTGTTAAAGTTTTGGTGGTGTTTTTTTTCTGTTTTTTTTTTGTTTGTTTTTTTTTTTTTTTTCTTCTTGGATTCACTGTCTTTTGAATTCTGTAATCTCCTGAAAGCACAATAGCTTGGTAAACCTGTATTGCTGTGTATTGTTCACACATGGTTCTGCTGCTGGCGTTTGAGTGTGATGCTGCTTTTGTTAGTGTAATGGCACTTTAAGAAGCGGTTCATAAAGAAATAAAGTCTGAGAGTTTACTGCGCTGCTGGTAACCACTGCACAAGCCAGGACATAAAAGTGGCTGATTTTTAGGTAGCATGTGACATCTAGGTGACAGTTTAATACACTGTGATGCCCAGGTAGGTGTATGGAAGAACCCTGGGAAGAGAGCACCCTGGCCAACTTCAGTGTGAAGGAATGAGTGGGGCTGTTGAAACTGGTGAAATGATTGAGATAATGCCACCTTCTGTTTCTCAACCCAGTTAGGGTAGGGCCCTATTGCTTTGATAGCAGTTTCTGCCTAGTTGGTTTCAGAAACTGGAAGCCGCCCATCCTGCTCTCCTTGCTGGAGAGAGGAAGATTGTTCCTTTCCAGAAGCCTGGTGCGTGGTCTGTGTCTGGCCATCACTGACTCTAGCCCTGTGTAGCTCTTGAGTGGTGCTGGGTGACCAGCTTTCCTTGTGCTTAAACTTGAACTAACTGTGCTTCTGGGGTTAGCTAATGCCCGTGTGTGCTACAGGGAGAAGTGTCTCATGCTGTAGAGCCCCAAAGTCATCCTTGCAGTCTGAGAAGGAATAAACGAGCTGTCTGCTGTACTGAATTATAATGCTGACAAACTATTTTCTGTTTATTTGTGCCATTAGGGGTAGTTGAGCAGAAGAATAACAACTAAAAAAAGTGGGGCCTGCCAATGGAACCTGTCAAATGATAACTTGACTCATTATCCTGTTGTGTCCCCCATGTCTTATTTCCCTGGGTTAGTTTATCTTGAACCTTTTCTTACTCCATTACTGTTCAGCATGCTTCTTTTTGCCTACAGCGCTTCCTGGAGATGACCCCCCAATGTAGTGTCACTTGATTTACCTTTTGTGTTTCGTAGCAGTATTTAAGAATCCCGTTCACGTATTTACACAGCTGTAAATTACATGATGTAACGGAGCATATTCCTTGTGTGTGTGCATCCTGGCTCTGGAAATTGTGGTACTGCTTTGTCTGTTAACTTGATAGGGTCTTGTAGGTATCACAAAGCAGTCGTGGTTTATGTACT